GTGGCGGGAAATACCTTTCGGGCAATAGATCTCATGCAAAATTAGTCAAAACTTCTCAGATCACCAAACACTGCCAAACATTTCACCGACTTCACCTATATTAGGAAACCTTTGCGACAATCAACTTGGTTGGTCCAACCTCCGCTTCCCAATCACCAGAAACTTCCCACTTCAAAACCTCCCCCTCCATCACCTTCTCTCCTCCCATCAAAACTTCATTTCCTTCCCAAAAAACCATCCATGGCTTCCGTCTTCCATCAACCAGCCCTAGAAGACGATTCAAGAGTTCTCTTCTCCCCTTCCAACTCCCTCGAAGAAACCGTAAGCCGTTCATCTTCTTTCTATAACTCACCAACACCATATCACCAATCCAAAACAACTTACAAACTAGCTGTAACCAATCTCTCCTACACTATAAACCACCATGGATCAATACCCACCTGGTTATATCACTCTAAGAAGAAAAGTAAGCCTATTAACATACTCAAATCTGTCTCTTTCGTGGCAAGAAGCTCTGAAATTCATGCCATTGTTGGCCCAAGTGGCACCGGAAAGTCTACTTTGTTACGAATAATCTCCGGTCGGTTAAGAGACAGAGATTTTGATGCAAAGAGTGTGTCACTTAATGATTTCTCCATAAATAGCCCAGCTCAGTTGAGGAAGATATGTGGGTTTGTGGCACAAGAAGATAATTTGCTACCTTTGCTCACTGTAAAGGAGACATTAATGTTTAGTGCAAAGTTCAGGCTAAAAGAAATGAGTGCAAAAGAGAAGGAAGATAGGGTTGAGACCTTGATGCAGGAGCTAGGTCTGTTTCATGTTGCTGATAGTTTTGTTGGTGATGAGGAGAATAGAGGAATATCTGGAGGAGAGAGAAAAAGGGTATCAATTGGTGTAGATATGATTCATGACCCACCCATTTTACTCCTTGATGAACCAACATCAGGACTTGACAGTAGTTCCGCTCTTCAAGTGATAGAGTTACTTTCATCCATGGCAAAATCAAAGCGCAGAATGATAGTTCTCTCTATCCACCAACCTAGTTACAGAATTCTTCAATATATTTCCAACTTTTTGATCCTCTCTAATGGTTCTGTTGTGCATAATGGTTCTATTGAAGCACTAGAGGAGACCATAGAGAAATTGGGTTTTAAAATTCCGACCCAACTCAATGCTCTTGAATTTTCCATGGAAATCATACGTATACTTGAAGAATCAAACTCCAGCAATCTCTCAGAAATGGAGGAGAAAGAGAAAGACCCATCTCCATTTTTGATGTGGCAAGTGGAAATTAGTGAAGTTCGATTACAGAATGATAATTACAAACAAAGTGGTAGTTGTTTTTATTGGAGTTTGTTTGAGATAATGGTGCTTTGTGAAAGATTTTGGAAGATAATTTACAGAACAAAACAACTGTTCTTGGCTAGAACTATGCAAGCTCTTGTGGGAGGATTTGGGTTGGGAAGTGTTTACATGAAGGTCAACAATGATGAGGGTGGAGTTGCAGAGAGATTAGGTTTGTTTGCTTTTAGTCTTAGTTTCCTTCTCTCTTCCACAGTTGAAGCCCTACCAATTTACCTTCAAGAGAGGAGAGTTTTAATGAAGGAAGCCTCAAGAGGAGCCTACAAAACCTCCTCTTACATGATTGCAAACAGCATTGTTTTCCTACCCTTTTTGTTTGCAGTGGCTATTCTTTTCTCTCTCCCTCTTTATTGGCTTGTAGGGCTCAACCCTTCATTCTCAGCTTTTGCATTTTTCACCTTTGTGGTTTGGGTTATTGTGNTTTCTCTCTCCCTCTTTATTGGCTTGTAGGGCTCAACCCTTCATTCTCAGCTTTTGCATTTTTCACCTTTGTGGTTTGGGTTATTGTGTTGATGGCTAGCTCTTTGGTCCTCTTTCTCAGTGCTATCTCTCCTAACTTCATTTCTGGGAACTCTCTCATCTGCACAGTTCTTGGTGCCTTCTTTCTCTTCTCTGGCTACTTCATTCCAAAAGAGTGTATCCCAAAATATTGGATCTTCATGTACTATGTTTCCCTTTATAGGTACCCTTTGGACTCACTTCTTATAAATGAGTACTGGAGTGTGAGAAGTAAGTGTTTCTCTTGGAATCCTCAAGATCATTCCGAGTGTTTGCTTACTGGGAATGATGTTTTGAAGAGTAGAGGGCTTGATAAGGACACTAGGTGGATGAATATGGGGATCATGTTTGCCTTCTTTGTGTTTTACAGGGTGGTCTGTTGGATCATTCTTGCTAGAAGGGTTTCAAAAACAACAATATGAAGTGAAAATTATAGCAAATGATTCATCATCCTAGTGGTATTAATACAAGTAAAGTTCACCATCAACCATAGATAGGTATTTTTTGTGTTCATTTATATTGCATCTGTATATGGCAATCTAAGTTGTCTCCACTCCCCCCCGCCCCCACTCATGTTATTTGCTCCTGAGCATTGTGACATCTAGTTTTTGTCCATTATAAAATTAAATGATCAAAAGAAAATTTCTTTATTCTCTCATTTTAAGTGGATAGTTATTGTATGAGATAATTTTTGCACAATCAGTGAAATGTTGAAGGTGCGCCTCTAGTTTTTAAATATCATTCAACCCACGAGTTGTAAAACCAACACGAGGCTAGAGAAACTTTGGCGTTAAACTAGGGGAAGCTTCTCCAATTTCTAAGTCTGTGTTATGATTAATACATATAGACAAGTGTATAAACTAAAAAAATAATAAGGTGTGTGTGTAGAGTATGAAACTAAAAAACTCATACTTTTAAGTCTCTTTACCTTTGAGTCTCCACCCATATTTATAGGAAAAATAGAAAGAAATTTACAAATTGTCCTTATCTCTGACGGGCCTATGTCTATAGCATTTGTCTGATAGTTGTCTTTCTAGGAAGTCATACTCCTTGGGTCTGCTAATATATTGAGACCTGTACCTTACTTTTCATATAAAAAGTGAGATGTTTGTTAACATCTTACTATTGTCATGTCTTGAAAAGACAATTGATGAGTCTTATTATGATATACTCATGTGTTGTGGGACTCTCTCCATTGAAACAAAATATAATCCTTCAATAGGTATTTTGTTTGCTAGAAATGACGAGGCAATTGTCACCGCTGGAATTAGGATTCTAGGTGGGATCATTCAAGAGAGCTTCTTGGGTTGTCTCAAGAAACTTGATGNGAAAATTTCTTTATTCTCTCATTTTAAGTGGATAGTTATTGTATGAGATAATTTTCGCACAATCAGTGAAATGTTGAAGGTGCGCCTCTAGTTTTTAAATATCATTCAACCCACGAGTTGCACAACCAACACGAGGCTAGAGAAACTTTGGCGTTGAACTAGGGGAAGCTCCTCCAATTTCTAAGTCTGTGTTATGATTAATACATATAGACAAGTGTATAAAGTAAGAAAATAATAAGGTGTGTGTAGAGTATGGAACTAAAAAACTCATACTTTTAAGTCTCTTTACCTTTGAGTCTCCACCCATATTTATAAAAAAAATAGAAAGAAATTTACAAATTGTCCTTATCTCTGACGGGTCNCTTTTAAGTCTCTTTACCTTTGAGTCTCCACCCATATTTATAAAAAAAATAGAAAGAAATTTACAAATTGTCCTTATCTCTGACGGGTCTATGTCTATAGCATTTGTCTGATAGTTGTCTTTCTAGGAAGTCATACTCCTTGGGTCTGCTAATATATTGAGACCTGTACCTTACTTTTCATATAAAAAGTGAGATGTTTGTTAACATCTTACTATTGTCATGTCGTGAAAAGACAATTGATGAGTCTTATTATGATATACTCGTGTTGTGGGACTCTCTCCATTGAAACAAAATATAATCCTTCAATAGGTATTTTGTTTCCTAGAAATGACGAGGCAATTGTCACTGCTGGAATTAAGATTCTAGGTGGGATCATTCAAGAGAGCTTCTTGGGTTGTCTCAAGAAACTTGATGTGCGAAGCTCAAGACATTCTATTGGGTTTGTTGTTGGTGTTTTTATGTTGCTAGGTTATAACTGTTAAAGTATTACCCAAAATTAATTAACAAAGAGGGGAGATGCTCTTTAGGCATATAAACTAGTTTTGAGTGTCCATAAGTCATTCATTTTGACGTGGGATACAAGTTCTTTCACACCCTCTCTTACCCGGGACTTGAACTTATACGCGAGACTACCAAATAAAAAGAAAAATGTACTTACCCAAAAATTTAAGCCCCCAACTCGAATAATATGCTAGGACATCTAACCTAAAATCAATTGATAATGAATTGAAAAATCCCCTAAGCCAACCTTAATGGCCCTAATCATTTGTGTGGTATACTTGGTGGTAAAGGAGTATAACCCCTATTTTATTCATATTATCAAGTCGTGTTATGTTTGTATTCTTATCGGGAACATATCAATCTTAAACCATTAATTTTGTATAAACTTAATGACATTTCAACATCTTACTAATATAACATTGATCCTCAAATCATTATGAAATCTAATATCCAACCTTTAGTGCCGTGTCGGATCATCTCATTAGTAACCATCGACAAAGTATGGCCAGGCCGGCAAATTCATATATATGGTCCAATTTTTATTTTTTTTTATTTTTTGGTGTTCCTTGCCTCAATTGTCTCCGGAAAGAAGCATGCAAGTCGATTGCTTGAAACCAATCGATGAATAGTAATCCCGAAAGAGAAGCGAAGCTAAAAGCATAAGAGAATAGGAAAATCCCTCCTTGTGCTTCTTCAAGTTCCGCTTGCTGCTTTTTTTTGATTTTTTGGATTAATTTTACATGCGTTAAATGGATTTTATAATGTCCACAATGAGACTTTCAAGATATAGTTACTTGGTAAAGGATCATTTTAGTGCTATGAGGCAATTGAACTTGCCAAGAAAATGTGAATATGAAACCTTCAAGGTTATTTACTCGAGATTCCAATTTGTGTGAGTTTTATGTGTGATTAAGCATATCCAAAATTTGTGTTTTATAACACTAATTAACAAGATGAGTGGTTTGAACAGTCATCTATTATTAAAGAAAAAATGCAATCTTAACCCCAATACCATTACCATGAGCAATACTTGATCAGTATTAACACGAACCATTAAGAACACGGATTCAAAAAGAACACCTTCAATTAATATGAACAATAAATTAGAAAGATCAATATTAGACACAAATAACCCGGTTTAATTGATATTGTAATAAAAAATGGAAAAACAAAAAAACAAAAAAAAAACAAAAATAGTTCTTGATATAGTACTTACTAAATGGACTGTTTTGAAATTAAATAATTTTTATATTTGGTATTTTTATGATTTGGATAAAGTAGGTTTTTCAAATTTCAGGAAACAATGGATTCTGTTTAAAGAAATAAAGGATTTTGTTTAGAAAGAAAAGGATACTAGTATTGTTCTTTTTGATTTATAATTTAGTTGACGAACACGACATAAGCCTAAAATGATACGGGGCTTCTACTTTGTATGGATATCGCAAGATTTATAGGCAAATCCAACAAAGAAGCATTCCAACTTGTGTTTTTTTTTTTTTTGGCACTTGTTGGGTTTTTAAAATGTTGACTTGTTACAGGCCTCTCTCTCTCTCTCTCTCTCTCTCTCTCTCTCTCTCATGCTTTGTGTAGTTACTCAAAATTACATAGTATCCATGATGCAATTCTTACAATTATAAAGTTTATCCCATTTTCTTCACTTTCATACCTCCCAACCATGAATAGTTGTCCAAATGATGATATGAGGACCCATTCATCTAGAGTTGTCTCCAACTCGAATTCGGAGCGTAATCTATCATTAAGATAATAGTATATTGACTGTGATCAAAACACGACATAAAAAAATAATTCAAAATATCAGATAACCGTAAGAAAAATATATTAGTGTCTTTCCTTTGAATTCCATATATGTGTGTATTTTTTTTTTTAGCAGTCAATTTGTTAAGCTTCTCAAAGGGAACAGAACACAAATCCAATTTCGGCTGTAAGAAATTAATAATCTAGAAGATCTTCACTTCTGTCATGTTCATGGCTAGTTGAGGGAATCAAAGAGGGCTGCAAATGCTTCCTAAACTTCATTCCTGGATCTGTCATTAGTATAGAACTGTAGGAAGATGATAGTTAAGGTATGCAAGGTAATGATGAGCAATAAAAGCCTTACTAAACAAAACATAGGAATTGATGTTGTAACTACAAATCCAAATAACGTGGTCAAAACGGTTCTCTATCGTTGAAAATTTGATATTTTTCATCTTTTATTTTGACCCCGAATACCATTACAACGAGCACAACCTAGTCTAGCCTCAGTGAATTTCAAACAATAAGTCAAAGGTCATAGGATATCAACTTAATCTATAATTTTTTGTGAGACTAGAGATATGTAGTTCTGCTTTTATTGATTTTTTGACTGTCTGAAGCTGCACCAAAAACAATCACAATACCAATTGATAATCGGATATATAACAAAATACCCATTGAACTTTGACACTCAATTTACTTTTCATGCTCAATTTTAATTTGTCCCAGTCATATTTAGGAAATCGCAATTGTTGAATTTCCTCATTAAAACTAATGGAGAAACTCCTTTTGAGTTCGTGCGGACTTATCCAATAGTTGGGAATGAATTGGACGGAAGAGCTTGATTGCTGTAATTTTAGAAGTAAAAGACAAAAATAGAGACAAATTAAAGCTGAGGGAGCCAATTGAAACGAGTTTCAAAGTACGGGCATATCATAATTAGATTGCATAAGCACTAGCTGAAACTTTTTAATGCTACACACGGTAAAAGTCAATCACCTGGACAAATAAGGCAGAATGCTGTCTGTGTGGCCATTTGAAACCTCTACTCAACTCTTTGATGCACCTAATTAGAAACAATACATGACTTTCTGCTCCAACAGTCATATATGGATGCTATTCTTTAGTTTTCGTAAGGTAATGGAGCACCTACCTTACTTCACCTTCTTCTATGCTCTGATCTTTTCCTCATCCTTCTTGGAGTTTTCGGTTGCAGCAACAGACACCATTATTCCAGGCCAATCCATTAGTGATGGACAGACTCTGGTTTCCTCCAGCCAAAGGTTTGAGCTAGGCTTCTTCTCTAGTGGCAGGTTCGAAAACAAGTACTTAGGTATATGGTACAAAGCTACCCCAGACACCATTGTGTGGACTGCAAACAGAAATAACCCTATTAAAGATTCAAAGGGAGTTTTAACAATCAGCAGTAATGGAACACTAGTTCTTCTCAATGGAACACAAACCACTATTTGGTCTGCAAATCTGTCGAAAACTGCAGTGAGTCCTGCTGCTCAGCTCCTAGATACTGGAAATTTTGTTAGTCTAGACAAGGCAAGCAAGAGTTCTGAGAGTTATATGTGGCAGAGCTTTGATTTCCCATCCAATACACTGTTACCAGGGATGAAGTTGGGGGGGGGGAGGATTTGGACACTGGTCTAGACAGATGTGTGACATCATGGACGAGTAACAATGATCCATCCCTTGGAGACTTCACCTACAAAATTGATAACCATGGGTTGCCTCAACTGGTTATTAGCAGGGGATCAGTGAAAAAGTACCGGTCCGGACCGTGGAATGGAGTTCGATTCAGTGGTCTCCCCACGATTAACAATCCAGTTTTTAGACCTATAATGGTCTTCAATGAGAGCAGGCTGATTTCTGTCTCTGAGCCTTACAACAATTCGGTCATCGCAAGATCGGTTCTGAACCAATCAGGCTTGCTCGAACAATATTTAATGGATGAAAAAGGCGATAAATGGACTCTAACATTCAATGAACCAAGCGAACCATGTGACAATTATGGGCAGTGTGGTCCCAATGGTATTTGCAGTATCAATGAATCTCCAATATGTGATTGTTTGAAGGGATTCACTCCAAAATCTCCACATAGATGGCAACTGCTTGATTGGTCCAGTGGATGTGTCAGAAAAACACCATTGGAATGCAAGAAAGGAGAAGGATTTATAAAGGTTGCAGGAGTCAAGGTGCCTGACTTGTTGGAGTTCCAGCTAAACACTAGTATGAGCCTCGCTGAGTGCAAGGCACAGTGCTTAAACAACTGTTCTTGTACTGCTAATGCTAATTCGTATATCAGTGGAGGAGGAAGTGGCTGTCTGATCTGGTTTGGGGATCTAACGGACATCAAGAAGTTTATTGCAGAAGAAAGTGAGCAAGATATCTATATACGCTTGCCAGCCTCAGAATTAGGTAAGTGGGTAACATTTTAAGATCTTTAATTGTTCATGCACAAAACCCAAGCCGTTCCAAATGAACTAAACAGCTTACTTTGTCAAATTAGGACAGGAGATTCAATTTGTCACTGCATCACTACATCAGTTCAGATTGTTGTTGCATGCTTAACTTCATGAGGTTCAAAATAAAATAGCTGGAATAAAATTGTGCAATGCTAAATACAATATCAGCTTGTCATTGATCCATACCTGCATGGAGGATAGACTTGTAAATTTTTAGAGATGCAGACCATTAAGAAGCGAATAATAACATTTCTCAATCTTCGCTGTTTTTAGAATATCCTAATCCATTGAAGATGACCAAAAAAGGATTAGTGAAGATCCTAGTGACATTGGCCATTTCTGGAATGATTACCTTGAGCTTTGTATGTGGGTGCATATTTAAGGGAAAAATAGCAAATAGAAGAGGTAAGATATTTCTGATTTATTTACTATCACTTATGAAAGTTATATTTTGGAACCCAATTTTGTTAAAATTTATATATTATTTTTTAGCCTTCTACTTATTCCAATCAACAGCTCAGAAAAGGAAGACGAAAGAGTTTGAATTACCTTTATTTGGTTTGGCAACTATTGCTGCTGCAACAAATAACTTCTGTCATACAAGTAGGATTGGAGAAGGCGGCTTTGGTCCGGTTTACAAGGTAACATTTGATGTGTTCAGTTCTTCTTTGAACAAAGCATTGTCTTCTATGTTGTGCATCTTATATATGAAATACACAGGGAAAACTATCAACCGGACAAGAAATAGCAGTGAAAAGACTGTCAAAGAATTCAGGACAAGGTCTTGAAGAGTTTAAGAATGAAGTTGTTTCAATTGCCAAACTCCAACACAGAAATCTTGTCAGGCTTTTGGGATGCTGCATTCAAGGAGAAGAAAGATTGTTAATTTATGAGTACATGCAGAACAAGAGCTTGAATTATTTTATTTTTGGTTTGAACCACAAAACCTCAATCTCTTGGCTCAATTCTTTACCAGCATGAAGCTAACTGACATGCTTGCCAATTAAGCATCAGTCATCTGCTGGACTGTACTTATGATGACAAAGTTCTAATATTGATACTTATAAATGGACTTATTGTGCAGATCAGCGTACAAGTACATCGTTGGCTTGGCCAAAGCATTTTGACATTGTTATGGGGATTGCACGAGGACTTCTGTATCTCCACCAAGATTCCAGAATGAGAATTATTCATAGGGATCTCAAAGCAAGCAATATTCTACTAGATAGCGATCTGATTCCTAAAATTTCAGATTTTGGCTTAGCAAGAATTGTCGGAGGGGATCAAGTTTTTGGAAAAACCAAAAGAGTAGTTGGAACATAGTAAGTTCTACTTGCTTAGCCCAGAACAATATTTTCATCATTTAAAAGATCTTATGGTTGATAAATTCATGCAGTGGCTATCTGTCTCCAGAATATGCTATTGATGGCAAAGTCTCAGTGAAGTCTGATGTCTTTAGCCTGGGTGTGCTTTTGTTAAAGATAGCAAGTGGCAAAAGAAACAGAGGTTTCTGTCATCCGGATCACCACCACAACCTTCTGGGGCATGTAAGTTCTACAAACAAAATTCTACTAATCCCCTTTTTCTCCGAGTCACCGTACTGCTTATCATGGATCTCGGATATGAATGCTAAGGCAATTAGAGAAAAATATTCTCACTGTATTATTGCAATTGTGTTAGGCATGGTTTCTGTGGAATCAAGACAGGGCTTCGGAAGTATTGGATGTGTGCTTGAGGGACTCGTGTGTTAAATCTCAAGTGCAGACATGTATCCACGTGGGCCTGCTGTGCGTTCAACAATTTCCACAAGACAGGCCAGAAATGTCATCTGTGGTTTTTATGTTGGGCAATGAGGGACCAGTGCTGCCTCGACCAAAACAGCCCGGTTTCTTCTCGGAAAGGGGTTGCATTGGAACTGAAGACTTCTGTTCATATGATGAAGAAGCTATAACAATAGTACAACCTCGATAGAGGATTCAAGACAAGTAATTTAGACAGGGTTAATGCTTATAAAGAAGCAGATGTGAGTTCAATGTTAGGAGCTTTCTGGACAATCTTTTATTCTTAGGAAAGGTATTCGTTTGTGTGATTAAATTATTGATGGTGATCAAGCAGAAATGTGTGGCAGAGGGGGAGCAGAAATGCACAGGCATTTCTGGAATGACTGCAGATGTGTATTGAGAACACCTTTTTTTTTTTTTCCTTCTGGTGACTACCAGGTTCTGAGAGATTCCTAGATTGCAGCGTGTCAAGTCATTTAACTCCTCAGGCCACCGATGACTCAACTGCACAGGTGCCTACACAGTGTACTGTTGGAGGTGTATTCAGCATTCAACATGCATTCAGGCTCATGTGCCTTCCAAAACAAAAAGGCTGTGCTTGAGCTGAAAGGCCAACTTTCTAATGTACACACTGCTTCAATCATCTTTGTTCAAAAGTGACAGTAACTAAGAAAGACATAGTAAGCTCGGAACCTTCGTTACATCCTGTCATAAATTAAATAACTGAAAATCTAACACACAAAGTATTGTCCATAGTTTTGTTTCAGAAAAAGTAGCCCAATTTGCATAAACATGTATGACAGGGAGTGCAATTGTTGAGTTGTACACATCACAAAAACATAAGTTATTTCTATGGAATCTATATTCATTGAAGTCTTTGTTTTTTTACACAATACCTTGGCAGTGGTGAAAAGGTAAAATAACCCAAAGAATGCAGGTGAATTTGTTTCTGCAACCAAATCTAAATTACTTAGAACAAGCCTTTATCGCAGAAGAGGATTGGAACCTCATAAACTTTCAAAAAGTGAAACCTTAATCAATAAGAGGAATTTAGTTATGCCTCAATGCTTCGTCCTGTCATTTCCATCTATCAATATTCAACGAACGGCATCCTTTCAAATTATTTTCATACTGTTTCTGTCATGTGTTTATGTATTACTTTAACGCTTAAATCAAAATTTCATTTTGAAATGGTCAAAACGTCCGAAACGTTTCCGTTTTCAAGAAGATCGAAGCAAATTAGTGATTCAATGCTTCGATGTGTTTCGTAATCTTTTTAGGTGTTTCGAGATATTTCGGCATGTTTTTATTATTGTTTCAGAATGTATCGAGATGTTTTGGTATATTTCAAGTTTTCAAACAATATTCCAAAATATTTTGGAAATAAATTCTCAATTTTTTTTTTCATTCTATTGGGGCAATGGCCCTCAAACAATTCCATTACAAGCATATCCTACTCAACCACTATGCATTTCTAATCTGAGGCAGATTTTTGGGTAAAATTTCTTGGCCATATAGTTTTGTCATAGCCAGCCTTACCAGTGATTCTCTGTGGTGCAAAATTCATATTGCAAAAGTAAACACATGTATATTTTGTTTTTCAAATAAGTAATTACATATGCATATGATTGTGTAGTTTCTTGAACCATACCTGCTTCCAGAAGCACATAACTTGAATCCATTTGTTTCCCTTCGTCACACCTCATCACTAGATATAATTTTTCGAAAATTCATGAATAAAACCAGCATTGGATATGGAAAATCTGATAACCGAAGATACCCTTACCAACCCCATCATCTCAGTGCAAATGTTATAAGAAAACAATCATACCGCACAAAACATTCTCTGCGGGACAGTTGCCATGAGTGGCTAGCGTAACTGTGCGCCATATTGCATAAGCAGTTGCATACTATCAATTCGAGACAGCTATACTATGTTAAACTACTCTTATTTTAGATCTGATCAGGGCTGAAGTACATGTTAGCCCAACATTTTCATATGAATCTGTTGGGCTACTGAAGCTGCAAGATGCCAACCACTTGCAAATCCCGAAGGAATTTTTCACTGTCTATGCTGTTGAATCTCTTCAGGCTTGAATTCGTATCCATTTATATACAAGCACCCACTTCTAGATTGCCTCCATTCAAATTCCATAGCAGTTCATCCTTCTCCATATTAATGTAAAGAATGGACAGGCATTCATATAGTAAATTTGCTTGCGGAAATGATATATGCCCTGGAAAGAAGGGCTGGATTCTCTTGTCAACTTCAATCCAGCTACATCCAGGGTTCTTTTGCACTCCAAGCTCTTTCATCTTTAATCTCACCTTGCTCATCGCATCCCATTTCTTGATGGAAGCATACATGTTTGCTAAAGTAATGTATGTAGATGGACTATCAGCATCCTTCTCAATAAGAAATCTTCCGATTTCCTCCCCTAATTCTAACTCCCCATGCATATGACATGCAGAAAATAATGTGCTTAGCAACTCGACATCTTCTCTAATACTAGGGTTTCTTTGAAGAATCATATAAGCTTCATGCAATCTCCCAGAACGTCCAAGAAGATCGATAAAGCACGAGTAGTCTTCAATTGTGGGTTGAATTTCGTATTCAGTGACCATTAGATTGAAATAGTAACAGCCCTCATCAACTAATCCTGCATGGCTACAGGCAGAAATTACTGCAAGAAAAGTCACTCTATCTGGTTTTGCACTGGATTGCAGCATTTCACTGAAGAGTTTCAAAGCTTCAAAAGCTAGGCCATGAGACCCATAAGCGGCAATCATTGAAGTCCACGACACATGGTCTCTTTCTGGTAATTTGTTAAAAACATCAAGAGCTTCATTCACAGCACCACACTTAGCATACATGTCAAGGAGAGCTCCCATGACTATTTCATTGGATTCAAATTTATTTTCAGTGATGCCTTTATGAATCTCCTTACCCTGCTCTAAGACTGCTAGTTGTGAACAAGCTGCTAAGATACTAGTAAATGTAATGGCATCTGGTTTTACACCAGCTTCTCGCATGTCACCGAAGATGCCAAGAGCCTCAAAATAACAGCCTGCTGATGCATAACCAGAAATCATCACATTCCAAGCTACAACATTTGTTTTTGGCATCGTTTCAAAAATAATTTCAGCTGATGAAACCATTCCACATTTGAAGTATAGATCGACGAGTAAGCTGTCAATGAAAATATCGGATTCTATGTGGTGTCTTATTATATACCCATGAATGAACTTTCCATGCCGCAATTGGGATGATTTCGAACAAGCCACCAATAAGCAACTTAAAGTTGTAGAATCAGGTTTAATTTCTATTTCTTTCATTCTCAGTAAAAGTTCAATACACGATTTGCTGTCACCTCTCAAACTGAATCCTGCAATCATAGAATTGCAAGAAACCAAACTTTTCCTTGGGATTTGCTCGAAGACCTTCACTGCCATCTCTAAACAACCACATTTTCCATACATGTCCACAAGAGCAGCACTAATAAAGCCATCCAATACAAACCCTTTTCTCCCCAATTCTCTATGAATCTCCTTCCCTCTTTCCAAATCCAGAAGCCTTGCACACGCAGAGATAACAGTAGTAAACGTCACTGAATCAGGCTCAAATCCATCACCATTCATTTTTTCAAACAATTCCAACGCTTTCTCACATTGCCCACTTTGATAATAACAAGAAATCACATTGTTCCAACACGCCACATCTCTTTCAGGCATTTCATCAAATAACTGTGTCGCTGACCGAAATTTATTGCACTTTGCGTACATACCAACAATGGAGCTCCCAACAACAACATCAGATAAAAACCCACTTTTCACCACATGAGAATGTATCATTACACCACGGTCTACTCTGTTTAACCCACTACAAGCCTTAAGAACGCTAGGGTATGTGTAATCATCAGGTTTGAGATAAGGGTAGTGCAATAACCTCTTAAAGAGATCAAGAACTTCAGTGAACATGAAATTCTTTGTGTAAGCTGCCATGAGGCCATTCCACAAAGTGATGTCTAAAGGGTCCTCAATGGTTTGAAAAACTAGCTTTGCAGATTTAAAATCTTGGCAGGAGAAGTAGAGGTTGATGAGGCTTTTGCACAAGGCAATGTTGTTTTGTAAGCCTAAGGTGACTACTTTTTGGTGTATGACTTTGCCTTCTTTCAGTGACCTAATATCAATGAATGACCTTAACAGAGGCAATAGCCTTCTGGTGTCCATGCAAAACAGCTTGTACAGAACATGGGCAAAAGCTAAGAGAGCCCAAGATCTGTCATTTTTCATTCCTCTGACCCTTTTTCACATTGCCTCGGCTATTGTCAACCTCACATTTTGTCATTTCACTTCAACTATGTCATTAATTTCACATTACCCCAATAATTAATGTCTCTTACAAATTTCAAACATAAATGATAAATTATACTTTGATCCCGCCAATTATGACATTTTTTCACATTATTCCTTAATTATAACATTTCTTATATTGTACCTTCAACTATGTTAATTGTTTCACATTGTCTCAATAATTATCATTTGTTACAATTTTCACAAAAATTATGTCATTTTTTCACTCAAACTATGTGTTTTATTTTATTTTTCTCTTGTCACGTTGACAATTTTTACTCTAAAAGATAACTCACACGTGGGTTTGGGGGCAGGCAGTGTGAAATGAATTCACGTAATCGAGGGATTAATGTAAAAAAATTTAATAATTCAAAGGAAAAAATAAAGTACTCGTAATTGAGGGATCAATGTAAAATACAATTTATCCAAATATAAAGTACTCATAACGACCCTGGGAATAATGAGGGTTGCCAATGAGAAATGTGTCAAACTTTGAGAGCGTTTTTAAGCACATTAATTGCTTTAGTCGGTTCAAATTTAGCTCGATAAACTAGTTAGTATCCAAACACAAAAGCTACTAGAGTTTGGTTTTGATGAAGTAAAAACCAGAGAAGAGCTTTTACAGGGAAGGGTGAGCTGGAAGAGTTGATGAACTCTGTGTGAAGTGTGTGTAATGGAATAACGAGAGAATGTTCAAGTGATTAAGTGGTTCACGGAGTTGAATAACTTGATTAGTCTATTGTAATGGAGACTCTCTCCGTAGTTGTGTATTACTTGAGAAAGACGAAGGTAATTACACTTGGGGAGAGTCAATTAGGGGTGTAACTTGGGCGGGTTGAAAGATTNGAGAAAGACGAAGGTAATTACACTTGAGGAGAGTCAATTAGGGGTGTAACTTGGGCGGGTTGAAAGATCAATCTTAGATATATAATTTTTAATCTTAATCCTATCTCAATCCGAGTAATGTTCGAATTTAATTTGAGCGGATTTAGGTTGAATTCGGGTTACTTAATTCGGGTTGATATTTATGTATATTCGAGTTTAACCCAATTTTAATATTCGGGTTGAATTCAACAACCCGAAGTTTACCCAAATTCAATTTAGATTGAAATTTTTTGTCTAAACCCAACTCAAGTACTAAAAATTCTAATTCAAGTCCTATTTTTTTTGGGTTGAAATTGAATTAATTCAGATTGCCCCACCCCAATTACATCTCAAGAGTCAATGTAAATGTTTAGGCAAGGCAACGCCTTGCCGATGCACAAGGATCATGTAATCTAACAAACTTATAGGGAATATTTGGGGTAAATCATTAGTGATTATAAGTTTTTCTTAGGCATGACATGATCTTTTAGAAGCAATGACATGGTATTTCAAATATGTTTTGTGTCATGAGCTGATTGGGATAGGGCTGTTAAACGAGTCAAGTTTGAACATTTTTTTAAACTTATTTATGTGTAAATAGTCGAAGATTTAGGCTCGAATTCAGCTCGATTATCACCCCTAAACCTGGATCCTTATAGGTTAGGTTGGTCGAGCCTCAGCCATGTCAATTAAATTTCTTGTAGACACTTTGGCTTCTTCAAGATACAAACTGCATGTTTTTTCTTGGTATCATCCGGTTCGACGAAGATCCATGCGAAATTGCCTTGTCAAGTAAATAAGANGTAACTTGGGCGGGTTGAAAGATTAACCTTAGATATATAATCTTTAATCTTAACCTTATCTCAACCCAAGTAATGTTCAAGTTTAATTTGAGCGGATTTAGGTTGAATTCGGGTTACTTAATTCGGGTTGATATTTATGTATATTCGGGTTTAATCCAATTTTAATATTCGGGTTGAATTCAACAACCCGAAGTTTGCCCAAATTCAATTCGGATTGAAATTTTTTTGTCTAAACCCAACTCAAATACTAAAAATTCTAATTCAAGTCCTATTTTTTTTGGGTTGGAATTGAATTAATTCAGATTGTCCCACCCAAGTTACATCTCAAGAGTCAATGTAAATGTTAAGGCAAGGCAACGCCTTGCCGATACATAAGGATCATGTAATCTAACAAACTTATAGGGAATATTTGGGGTAAATCATTAGTGATTATAAGGTTTCCTTAGGCATGACATGATCTTTTAAAAGCAATGACATGGTATTTCAAATATGTTTTGTGTCATGAGCTGACTTGGATAGGACTGTTAAACGAGTCAAGTTTGAACATTTTTTTAAGCTTGTTTATGTGTAAATAGTCGAAGATTTAGGCTCGAATTCAGCTCGATTATCACCCTTAAACCTGGATCCTTATAGGTTAGGTTGGTCGAGCCTCAGCCATGTCAATTAAGTTTCTTGTAGACACTTTGGCTTCTTCAAGATACAAACTGCATGTTTTTTCTTGGTATCATCCGGTTCGACGAAGATCCATGCGAAATTGCCTTGTCAAGTAAATAAGATAAACTTAAATTTTTTTTGGATCTTATTTGAATACAAATCAGAATTGAACAAATTATTACTTGATTTAACTTGGAAAAAAATACAAATTAAAATATTTGAACCCCTAAAATACAACATGTTTTTACATTACCAACAACTATTATATTTTTCACATTGTACCTTCAATTACGTGATTAGTTTCACAATGTCACAATTCTAAATGTTTATTTATAAACTTGACAAAAATTTATTTTATTTTACACCCGAACTATTGAACGACGCTAAGACCTTAGTGAAGAGAGTCGTTGAGGACTCGAGAGAGGCAGAGCCACATAAGTCAAAAGAGGTAAAGCAATTAGGGCAAAAATGGCCAAAAAAATTGGTTGTTATAGCTTTTTAAATGACTCACTCGGTTTGTTAAAACCGGTCCAGGTCAAATTGTTGAGTAAAGAATCATCCGCTTCAAGGGGTTATAGGTGATCTTTGTGCTCCAACGATCTAATGTAGTATTCGGCCCGATTCACCGAATCAACCCAATGTGCTAGGTCGGGTTTTAAAACACTACATCTACTGAATCAAACGGCCCCAAAACCATGAATTTTATTTAGATTTATTGTAAATAGTGTACTTAAAAAAAATTGAAAATAAATTTATTAGAGCCATCATACTTTCATAAATGAACTTAGATTGAAAATTGGCTGTGTAGAGATGTCCATTCAATTTTCATATTTAGTCAATTGACGGCACCCATCGATGAAAATCTTCATAAGACAAAGAATGTTATTTGATCAAAGGCCTGTTAGTTACCTCTTTTATTCGTAATAATGCATACCAACATANAAAAATCTTCATAAGACAAAGAATGTTATTTGATCAAAGGCCTGTTAGTTACCTCTTTTATTCGTAATAATGCATACCAACATATCATCATAACAATAAAACAACAAGCATAAGCAAAAAATACAAAACATGGAGAGGAATACGCCGCCAATCCAAGTGCTAAATCCTTCGTCTGTTCATCTCAATCTCAGCAACCCCCTCCACCACCACCCCCACAACCACCGTCACCACCACCACCACCACCACCACCACATCCACCACCACCCCCACAACCGCCTCCTCCTCCTCCTCCTCCTCCTCCTCCTCCCCAACCCCCACCTCCACTACCACTATAACAACCACCACCTCCTCCACCATCACTAACAGTAGTGACTACAGCTGCTGTTGCAGCTATACCACCAATAGATCCCAAAAAAACCATATCACCATCTTTTAAGCCACTGCTTTTGGCTTTTTGACCTTTTTCACTGCCACGATAAACTGGTGCAGCAGGTGGAGGCGGAGGCGGAGGGGTAGTAGCAGTCGGACGCTTCTTTCTGCCGCCACCGTTGCTGAAACAACACAAAACCATAACCGCTAATTAAGACCACAAAACAAGACTATATAAACGAGTATGAGCTCAATAGCATATACTTTTGTCTATCACAAATTCTGAAACCATCTAGCTAGTCCTCTTTTATAAGATCAGATTACGTAAACTGAAAGGGACGGTTGCAATTTTCTAATGACAGGTTTCANTATACTTTTGTCTATCACAAATTCTGAAACCATCTAGCTAGTCCTCTTTTATAAGATCAGATTACGTAAACTGAAAGGGACGGTTGCAATTTTCTAATGACAGGTTTCACGTGGAAGTTTACCGTTTAGGAAAACTGCAGGAAAGTTTGTAAGTGGACTTGCCGTACATGTTGATTTTTTCTTTTTCTGACATAGACTCTATTTTTTTTTTCCTCGACCATTACGGTTATTTAGATTAACTTATATATATATCGACTATTTTCATAGAGCTGGAAAGGATTTCGCTAGTCATAATAAGGTTAGTCTCACTTTCATTCAGGGACTCTAGTTAAAGTCACGCAATCTAAGTTAGAATTAAAGTATTCGTATATGATAATTTTCTCATAACCTAATCTCGAAGAATTGTTAAAATTTAAATTTAAAATATTTGAATATATAAATTATTCTTATTACCACTTAAATTAATTTTAAATTTCTTTCTTACTTGACGTTTTGTAAGACTTTTTGTACCCAAAAGANAAACCATATCACCATCTTTTAAGCCACTGCTTTTGGCTTTTTGACCTTTTTCACTGCCACGATAAACTGGTGCAGCAGGTGGAGGCGGAGGCGGAGGGGTAGTAGCAGTCGGACGCTTCTTTCTGCCGCCACCGTTGCTGAAACAACACAAAACCATAACCGCTAATTAAGACCACAAAACAAGACTATATAAACGAGTATGAGCTCAATAGCATATACTTTTGTCTATCACAAATTCTGAAACAATCTAGCTAGTCCTCTTTTATAAGATCAGATTACGTAAACTGAAAGGGACGGTTGCAATTTTCTAATGACAGGTTTTACGTGGAAGTTTACCGTTTAGGAAAACTGCAGGAAAGTTTGTAAGTGGACTTGCCG